ATTTCAATACTTTCTGTTGACATCAGGTCTCTCGTCCATGTTTACATGTTTAAATTAAAACCTCTTGAAGATAAGACACGTGAACAGTTTGAGTTCAGCGTTACTCTGACGTTACTCTGACGTTACTCTGACGTTACTCTGACGTTAGCTCACCGCTCTCTGACATTTGATCTGTTTCGATGTAACCGACACACTGACCGATCACAGTCGGTTCCTCTCCTCACGGTACCGTCGATAATCGTCGGTAAACCTCGGTAAACGTCAACAGTCGGTGATTAGCTCAACCACACGGACTGAAGCGAAACTTTGGGCCCGTTACCGGAACTTTACCGGGCGCCGCCGCTGGTCTGAGGCCGAGGCAGAAAGTGTTGAGACTCACCGGGAGAAGCGGAGGAACCGTCCGGCCTGGTCCTCAGCGGAGCTCCGCTCAGATCTGCCCCGGGCAGGAGGCGTCTTCTCCGGACACGAGCACAGAGGGGCCGCGGTGCCGCGCTGCACAAGAGATGATGTCACCGCGGTAAAAATACACTGATGTCGTCATCGATGAAGCTCTTAAAGGGGCAGTAACGTCCGCATTGACAGGGACAACTTCCGGCCGCAGGGGGCGCTGCAGAGAAGCTTATGTGTGAAAAAAACTATGTTGCAAACTCAATATTGTAAAATAAATTGACTTGATATTTACATGAATGTTTCCAACAAACCCAGAGAACAACAACTCCCATGATCCCTTTCTGCTTCACAGCATCATTTCGTCTCATTGATGACGAGTCCTCCCAAGCGTGTCGCCCCCTGGTGGTTGATTTATTATATATAAGTATTGTAGTCATGTGCAGTTAGAACATGCAAGGACATTTAGTCCTGCATGATGTTCGTCTGCTAGCTTGATAAAGCCTCTGTAGCATGTACCAGTATCATTCATATCAGCATCCTTGTTGCTGTTGCCTAGCAGCAGCGTTTTCATGACCAACTATACGTTACTGCACAATTAGTGAATTAAAGAATCCACAGAGAACTTTTCTAAATGAATCTGTCTCATTGTAAGCTTGTGTTAATGAATTATTGGAGTCATAATTGTTTGCAGATTTTGTGAGATCTGTACAAAACAGCTGAAATAAATTCAATTAGATTTTTTTATTTATACATTGGAATATCTTTTATCTGGTTAAAGTTTGGTGAACTCTGAGTCTCTGAGGTATTGAATGTCCCTCCTGAGTCGGGACAATGGAGGAGATGAAGGCAGAAGAAAAGTGAAAGGTTTTTCATTCTGGAGCAATTAGCATGCATGGCTAACTCACACTGATGAATGTGAGCGAACTCATCAAAGCTCCGAGCTGCAACATTCCTCTGATCACACGTCTGTGTGTTTACAACATACATGTACATTCAGGTGCATCGCATCTAATGTCTTTGACTCTGAAACATGAAAACATGACATGAACAATTGAGACAAAATGATCAAAATGTTTACGAGATTAAAATGTTCAATAAAAAACACACATTAGAAAACATTTCACTGTTAGAAGTTAGAATTTAATCACATTAAGATATATGATGGGAAATATTTCACTTTTTGGGTTAAATGAGATGTTAAACATGAGATATTATAACTTTATATCTTTTGATGAAGTACATTTTAATGAATCCTTCTCTCCTTTGTTCAGGTTTTATTTTTAAATAAAGATTTGTTGAAACAAGTGTCGCTTACGGAAGTCCGTGACGTCACGTCCAGAAGGTGGCGGTAAGGCGCCTTTAAGCTAATTTACCAACCGCCAATGCACCGCAGAAGAAGAAGAGCAAACCGGATGTAAACAAGTTACTCTGAGTTATTGTTGTTAGCGCGGGTTTAAATTAGTCCAGATTGTTGTTGTTGGCGCGGGTTTAAATTAGCCTGAATTGTTGTCGTTAGCTTGGGTTCACGTTGAATTTGTTGCTTCTCGTGTTTTCGTGATATTAGCCGTTAGCCGACTGCAGCTATCAACATGGATGACAACAAGGTGAGAAGCTAACGGTGGCTAACTCCAGTTAACCTGAGACCAGCTGTAACTCACAGCTGGTCCGGGTTCAACCGACTGCTCGTTAACTAACCGGTTAGTTAAACCGTGTGACGGTCACTAACTAGCTTATGCGGCTAACTGCGGTGAAATCATTAGGTGACATGAAGCTAACTGGAGCTAATGTTAGCATCGAGTCTCAGCTCGTTGGATTCAGAGAAGGTCTGAAAAGATTTGACTGATTCATTTAACGTGTGTCGGTGTGTTTGTGTCGTCATCGTCCTGTGACCGAGCTCCATGATGGAACTCTTCACCTCACTGAGACTCTGGAGCCTCTGGTCCTCTGAACACGGGCCCTGCTCCCTGGTTCACGTGTCTTCTAGAAACGACTGGTCACAGAGGATGAACTTTACTGACCTCAAACCGATAATAATCTGAGAAGATGCTAAATATATTGTTTCTTTCTGACGTTCTTCGACCATGAGATGTGTTATGTTGTGCTCGAGTTTCACTCTGTTGTCGTTTTCATCTTTGTTCCTGTTCTTTTGTCAGAAATAAAACGTCCGTACATACGTTGATATGCTTTGTTTGTTAGATGGTGGCTGGTAAAGTCAAGAAACCGGGGAAACGTGGACGTAAACCTGCGAAAATCGACCTGAAGGCCAAACTGGAGCGAAGCCGACAGAGCGCCAGAGAGTGTCGAGCGAGGAAGAAGCTGAGGTACCAGTACCTGGAGGAGCTGGTGTCGAGTAAAGAGAGAGCCATCTGTGCCCTGAGGGAGGAGCTGGAGATGGTAAACACACGTTATCAATGAACAGGTCGTACAGAGACGTCCTGAGCAGCAGATCATCGGGAATAATGATTATTGATAGAAATGAAATGTAATTTTAGAAATAAACTGAAGTTATCAAACCTTTCATACAGGAAACACAACTGAGTGTGTTTTATGGTAGATCAACAACATGACCAGAGTTACTGACATGGAAATAAACTGTCATCATCATGTAATCATGTGATAAACTGTGGTTTCATCTCTCAGTACAAACAGTGGTGTTCGGCCATGGATCAGGGGAAAATCCCGTCAGAGATCAAAGCGCTGTTGACCGGGGACGAGCAGAGAACGCCTCAAAGCGGCGGCGGCACCAAGACGTCCAAGAACAGCAAGAACAGCAAGAACAGCGTCAGCAGCATCAGTCAGGGTTAACCTGAGCGGCAAGGGAACGCTCCGCCTCTGACAGAGGTTGCAGACTGCTGAGATAAACTGCTGCTGTCAATCATCCTCAACACACATGTTAACGTTCACACTAACACACAGGAAGTGGCAGATACACATTTTCTTTCCGCCAGTTTCTTGTTTCGTAGACGAACATGAATCTGCGTTCAAGTTCCTGATTCATGAAACTGCTCTCGTAGGTCGGACGTCAGCTCTTCATCAGGGCGCCGCAGCTCGAGGCGGTCACGTGACTTCAGAAAATCAAACTTTATTAACATCACGTTTCTGATCCAATGCACATTTTCTGCTCGACAGATTTAAATAAGGTGAAACTGAATTTCCATTTGATTTGATGTTTGACAGATTGAAGGTCGACCACAGATCAACTGAGGTTTTTTATTTTAAATAAAAAGGTTCTGTTTTTAAAAGTAAAAATGTATAAGCACTTTGAAAAAATTAGGATTCACCACAGAGCTAATTACAAATATCAATGATTTGAATGTGTTCGTCCTCGTTTCTCTGAACATTTTTTATAAACTGCGTCTGGAATCCCGAGTCACATGACTGATGACGGAGAGGAAACAGGAAACGACAGAGACGCTCTGATGAAGCTGATTAAATCGTAACGTGACATGTGAATGTGGCTTTAATATTTAATTTATCCTTTGTTTGAATTTGACTGATTCTCTGAACGTGTGGCCTCAGGGTAGAGGTCAGAGGTCAGAGCAGCAGGATGAACAGTGGGAGATATATTTTTGTATTTGAGTGTTTTCATGAAGGAAAAGTTGGATTTTCTGCTTCTTGTGAGTAAAATGATAAAAATCATTGAGTAGTTTCAGCTTCAGCCTTTGATTATTTTATATTTTCATCTTTATAAAACCATCAGTTTACTTTGGTTCTTTCTCTTCGCTTGTGTCTGATTCTTTGAATTAAACACATCAATGTTTACTGGGGATTTTATTTGGACCATCAAGCTTAAAGTGTTTTTTTTCCTTGGGTAAAGTTTTTGCACTTTCTTCACTTTCTTCACTTTCTTCACAAGCACTTTGTTAAACTGAACTTTGCTCATTTTATCTCCCAAGAAAATAAACGTGTTTGACTGAGACTCTGTGATTCAACAGAAGCTTCTTCCTTGTTCTCAAACATCGGATCAGAAGCTGGATAATGTTTCTGTCATGAAATAATCCTCAGTTTATAAAAGGAGCTCAGTGATTCTGTGACGTCTGATGATGTCACATGTTTACAAATCCTCACTTTGTTTCATGAATCTGTGACTTTGTCAAATATTCAGAATCATTTTAATGAAATTGATCCGTTGAACAGTGAAAATCACTGATCACAGTTTCTAACGTCATCCACTGGTTAACTTTCAAGACTAAAACAATCGATCGAGATCATGTGACCGGATCAAAAGCTCCAGACAATAAAAAACATCTTTGAATCATGGTCAGAAATCTGGACCCAGGCTGACGGAGACTAACTAATAAATATTAAATGTTAAAGAAGAACAGCCTGTATTCAAATGAAATTCAGCACAATTCACAATACTCTGTTTATGTACAAACTAATCGTGTGTCACCAGCAGCTGAAGTAGAAAATGAATTTATCATTAAATTAAAACGTCTTTCGATCGTTTCTATGACGTGATTCTGATTCAGTTCGAGTTTAAAGCAGGAAAATCCTTTTAGAACAGAACAGATGTTTCCCAACAGAATGTGAATCAAAAGTTCATAAAGAAAGACGGACGACATGAAGCCAAAAGATCTGGACCGCCCCCTGGCGGCTGCGACGTCATGACTGACAGCTGATATTGACTATTGGTCGAGGGTGTGTATGGGCGGGGCCTCCATACCACGCCTCCACTGTAAATGATGTCATCACCACAAGATGGCAGCGTTTGTCTCGGAGATATCTTGGCTTCACTTCTGGAAGAAGAAGGAGTCGTCATCTTTATTTGTGTTTAAGATCAAATCACTTCAATCTCAGGTTTTTCTGAAAGAAGCAGACGTTTTATTTTGTGTTAGATTCATTCACTTCATCTTTTGTACGAACGATGGAACCGGGACCGTTCGATGCTCGGAAAACTCGTTACATTACAGTTATGCAGCAAAGCGGTGATGTCAGTGTTAACGGTAACTAGCGTTAGCTTGGACCACATGCGTCACTGCAGAAAATCCGAAACAACGTTTCACTGATAGATGGCCACGGACTACAGTTAGCTAGCTAACAAGCTAACATTATCAAAACACAGAATCTGATGCATCAATAACAAAACGATCCTCGGAAACACTGCACAGAAATCAACTACGATTCAAATCTGACGTAGAAAATCATTGAGAGCCTCCAACATGGCTGCTGGGAGAAAAGCCCACGGTACAAACTGAGCACGTTGTGTGTCTGTGAATACAGAGCTAGCGTGTTAACCTCCTGCTAGCTGGCGTGCCGTGGATCAATAGAGTTTCACACTGGTTTGTTAAACAGTTTGAACATCGTCCGAGCTCATTTACACAAAAGTGTTTGGTGGGTTGGCGTTTGTCAGCCACGCGACTTTCTTTTCCTTCGCCTCTCGACCAAATGTGTCGTGAACCGGGTCCTTGGTCTTTGCTTGCACTGGGATGTCCACCACCCCCACGTAGTTCTTTTTGGCTATGCGTGAGCTCGCCGTGATGGTGTACGCATTACTGCGATAGCACTTCATGGACGACATGCAGAAGGTCTCCCGCATGCCCCTTCTAAAGTTTGCGTTGTAGACGGAGTACAGGGTTGGTTTGGACGCCGTGGAGCTGAAGGAGATCCAGGCGATGGCCGCGAAGAACAGCAACCCCTGTCTGCTCGCTGACTCTGACTCCCTCGGGTGCCACAGCTGGGCCACGTAGAAGGGCGTCCAGGTGACGAAGAAAACTGAATTCAGCATGAGGAACATTTTGATGGTCTTGACTTTAGTCCGCGGGACGATGTTCATCGTCCTGCGCACCGTGTGACCATCGGCGCTGATTCTCCAGATGTAGCGGATCACCCGCTGATAGAACAACACTATTAGTGTGACTGGGACCAGAAGACCAAACAGCAGGTGAACCACTGCGTAGGAGACACTGCCCCAGCTGTGTGGGAGGAAAAACTCACAATGACTGTCTGTGGACGTGGAACCGTAGAAGAAGAAGCACGGCGAGATGAAGGCCGCGTCAAACAGCCACGAGGCCAGGATCATCTTTTTAGCTTTCTCCCTGGACACCTTGAAGCTGAGGGGGTAGACGATTGTGTAGAACCGGTCCACGGAGATGGAGAGCAGCACGTAGACCTGCACACCAGGACACAGGTGCTGCACGTAGCGCACAACTTTGCAGGCAGCGGCGCTCAGCGGCCATCGTCCAGCGGCAACCTGCAGCAGGATGAACGGGGCGCAACCCAGACTCATCAGCAGGTCGGCACAGGCCATAGACACCACAAAGTAGTTTGTGGTGGACTGAGTCCGTCGGCTCCGGTGGATGACCAGGCAGACGAGGGCATTTCCCAGGATGGAGATCAGCCAGAGAAACGCAAACACCAAACCCAGGACGGCGACCTCGACTGAAGTCAGTTCGTAGGAGGCGTGGGTCCCGTTGGCCCGGCCAGAGGACGAGTCCTCCAGGCTGCACAAGGGGGTTGTGGGTAGGGTTGCCAGGACGGTAGGGCTTTCCCTCTCGGAAAAGTTCAATGACATCTGATACGTGAAAGATGGAGAGTAAAGGGATGGATTCACACCAAGGGATGACTCAGCAAAAACCATAGTTATGATGCTGCACCGGAGACGAGCTGCAGACACACAAACACAAGAAGTCAAATCACACAACAATTACACAATCAAACAGTTCAACAGCGTTTGTGTTCGACACGACTGACAAACATCTGGAGAACTAACTCAAACACAACAACCACACAACAATTACACAACAACCACAAACGTTTACACAACAACCACACAACAATTACACAACAACCACAAAACGTTTACACAACAACCACACGAACGGAAACAGGTTTTTAAATGTTATCATAAAGCGTAAATTAGTTTGTTTTTCTTCTTATTCATCAAACTTGTTGAAGATCATGAAACATTAAGAAATAAAAGAATTCTGAATTTGTCACAGAAACAAAGAATAATAAAAACTCTTCTGACCTTAAGTAAAGTCCCTTTAATTTGTACTTCAGTGCAGTACTTGATTACTACACACACAACAACACAATTTAATTTAAACCTTATGAAACACAAATATCAGTTTGAAGACACAAACATGAAATCATCTATTAATCAATAAA